ATGACCAGACTGACGCTGAAGGGCAGGAGGAGTTCAGGGGAATGCTGTGGGTACGAGGAGTAAGGAGGGGCCAGGGAGCTGACTGCACCTCTCCAACCTTGCAGGGTCGCCTGGAGATGTGGGTGGACATGTTCCCCATGGATATGCCAGCACCTGGCCCTGCCATTGATATTTCCCCCAGGAAACCAAAGAAGTAAGGAATGTCCCAATCAAATGATCACTGGGAAAAACTATGGCTGGGGGCACAGTCCTGCTTCTTCCCACTACTTGTGTTTCTCCACGGCCCAGCCCTCTGTCCAGGCACTCCAGCTACTCAGGCACTTCCAGACATCTTAAGAATGGAGGCACCAAGTGATGTCTTCCCCTTCTGGAGCTTCCAGAGCCCTCAAATATTCTGCCTGGCAGCTCCTGATTTTGCTGTGTCTGCCTAGACTAGGAAATTAGAACTGCCATCCCAGCCCCTATAGTGGCAGCGTTATGTTAGGGCATGACATTCCTGGTCAGTTTGGATGGGCTCTTTTCAGGAGGAGAGGGCTGCCACTGAGACAGGGTTGGTCAACCCAAGCAGGACAGAGCAGGCACTGTCAAAATGGCCTCTCCTGCCTCCTTTGGAGAGAAGACACGTTTCCTCCCTCTGCATCTTTCCTAGTCCTGCCTTACTCTACTGCACTGTGTCCTTTTCCCACCCCAGGAGTGTAGAGTGGGGATCCCACTGGGAATCTTTTGCATTTGCATGCACTGCAGACGAGGTTTTGGATGGAGAGAATTTCTCTGGATTCCAGAGGGCTGCAGTTGGGATCTCAAGATTGAGGCTGCTGGAAAGCCAAGGCCAAAGGCAATGTCCAGACACTAGCACAGAGGAAAAGCAGAGTTTTATCTGTCAGCCCAGGACGGCCATGTCCAGCAGTGACCTGTAACTTGGTGCTGGAGCCCTGGCACAGGGAACAGAAAGCTGTGGGGGTTTCTCGCTGGGGATCTCCTGTGGGAGATGGAGAGGTCAGCTTGGCCTCACTGAGTCTCAACTTGCTGATAATGAGGCCCTGGAAAGGAGACAGAGGGTCTGAATAAACAGGGGTGTTTTGTACCAAGCCATCAGACAAACTCTCTGCTGATTATGAAGACTGCTGGACAACCTGCTCTGGGCAGCCCTGCTGGCACAGGAGGGGATCTCCAGCTGGGGGACTGGGATTCTGTTATGGCCCTGCTGTGTCTGGAACAGCTGACACAGACTGTTTTAGTGATAAATCTACCCAGCTACCAAGCCATGCTGTCCCCTAGATTCTCTGGCCTGGACTGTGCAGAAGCTTAGGAGAAAGAAAGTAAAGCTGCTCCACTGACCCCTCCTGGGTTGATCCCAGTTCTTACCCATCCCTGGTCCCTTTCTTTGGATAAGATCCCTGTGAGCAGATCCCCATGCCTGGAACCAGTCTCCCATCCCCCTTGTTCCCTTCCTCCTTCCCCTTCCCCACCACTTCACCTCCTTGTCTCCCTTTCTCCTGCCAGGTATGAGCTCAGAGTGATAGTGTGGAACACAGACGAGGTCATCCTGGAAGATGATGACTACTTCACTGGCGAGAAATCCAGTGACATTTTTGTCAGGGGGTAGGTACAGCACGGTCACTTCCTTTGCCTCAGCCATGGGAGTGCTGGTGCTATAGGGGACACAAGGTGAGTCTGGGAGTAGATGTGGGTGCGAGATTAGATAGCACCAACACTGTCTCCAGCGATGCGATGCCTTGCCAAGCTGGGCACCTCCAGTCCTGTCACCAGAGATTGGGTCAGCAGAGTCCACCCCACCCAGAAGCAGAGCCTGCATCAGACTCTAGATCTTCCTGATGGGCTCGAATAGATGCAGCCTGATATAGGGAACCCACAGTGACCAGTACAGACTGAGCTGCCTCTGCACAAACACCTAAAGTTGGTGGAGCTCAGACTACCCCATGGTGGAGTGAGAAGAACTATACAGCAACCTCTGGGCTTGTCCACTCCAACTGTGTGGGATGGGGATACCACTCCAGCATGCTCTGCTCCAGATTCCCATGTAATGCTCCTTGCTCCTGTCCACCACCACCATCCTCCTTCCTGGAGAAATATTCCCAACAGCCAGCTTGAATTTCTTGTGCTCAAACCCCACTGTTCCCTCTAGGTCCCTCCTCTGGGGCTGCTGCAGTGATTCACAGAATTCACAGAGCGACTCAAGCAGCCCCAGCTCATCACTTAAGGCTCTTAGGTCCTTCCAGTCTGTCCATGCCTTGCTGGCCTGGAGGCATCCTGGCTGCACACACAGGATGGCCCCACGCCTCCTCCTCCTTTCTGGAGAGTTCTACCCCTCTGGGCCTTGCAGGTGGCTGAAAGGTCAGCAGGAGGACAAGCAAGACACAGACGTCCATTACCACTCGCTCACCGGCGAAGGCAACTTCAACTGGCGTTACATCTTCCCCTTTGACTACCTGATGGCAGAAGAGAAGATTGTCATTTCCAAAAAAGAATCCATGTTCTCCTGGGACGAGACCGAGTACAAGATCCCAGCTCGCCTCACCCTGCAGGTCTGGGATGCTGACCACTTCTCAGCCGATGATTTCCTTGGTAAGGCAGGGGTCTGTTGAGCTGGGGCAGTGGGACAACCAGCAGGGTTCTATCTGGGGCTGGAGGAGCAGGGGGTGGTGTAGGTGAGGCAACACTTGAACAGGAGCAGAGCTCAGAAGGGCAGCCCTGGTCCTCAAGCCCACTACATCTTACAGATCCGTTTGGATGTTGTCTGTAAATGTATATAGGATCAGAGCCCTTATCTTCTCTGCTGCTGTTCAAAGGCTGGGCCTGAAAGCAGACATCAGCTTTTTAGTTCCCAAAGCAGTTCAGAATAGTTTTCCAGGGAAGGAGATGATGGCCAAGCCCATCTCCAGTCAAGGATTTGCGTTTTGGGGGTGCCAACATCTATGCTTCCTTGTCTCCTGCCAGGGGCCATCGAGTTGGACCTGAACCGCTTTCCCCGGGGAGCCAAGACATCCAAGCAGTGCAGTCTGGAAATGGTGACAAAGGAGGCAGAGCTGCCCATGGTCTCAATCTTCAAGCAAAAGAGGGTGAAGGGCTGGTGGCCATTTGTGGCCAGGGATGAGAATGACGAGCTGGAAATCACCGTAAGGATGAGGAGAAGGGGGTGATTTTCCACCCTGGGGACCACAGTCATTGCAGACCATCCCCATACTCCTCTCTGCTCCCTTAGGCCCCCCAATCACCATGGCTGTGGGCCAGGCAGGGAGCATAGCCTGGGGCACAGCATCCTTCTCTCCCTTTAGGGGAAAGTCGAAGCTGAATTGCACCTCCTGACTGCAGAGGAGGCAGAGAAATCGCCTGCTGGGCTGGCTCGCAATGAGCCTGACCCGCTGGAGAAACCCAAGTAAGCAGAAAACCCATCTCCCCAGCAGATGCCAGGGCTCCTATGAGATGCTGCTGGGTGGTGCTCAGGGAGTGACCCATGCATGGGGAGGTGAAGAAGGGTCACACCTCAGGGATGGAAGTTATGGGAATGGCCCTTCTCCTTTGATTCCCCACCGTTGCCCACTATTCACTGCCTGGCTCCCTTTCCATTTAGCTTCATGCCCTTTTTCTGGCCTCCCAACTCCTCCTCTCTTGTCCTGACCAACAAGACACTAGCTCCCAGTGGCTCCCCCACATCCCTGCCCTTGCTCTGTCTGCACATGTCCTGCTAGTTCCCCTCACAAAGGTTACCCAGGGACAGACCCATGGTTTCCCTTTCCACCCTGTGGTTCTTTAGCTGTGCTCCCTGCCTTCTCCATGACTGTGGCATTCATGAGGGTGTTTGCTTCCCTTGCAGCCGTCCAGACACGTCTTTCATCTGGTTCCTCAACCCTCTCAAGTCCATCAAATACCTTATCTGCACCCGCTACAAGTGGCTTATCATCAAAATCGTGCTGGCCCTGTTGCTGCTCATCATGGTGGCCCTCTTCCTCTACAGCATGCCAGGCTACATGGTCAAGAAACTCCTGGGAGCATGAAGCATGGGAGCATCCAACCTCCAGCTCAGAAGCACCGCCTGCCCCAGCCCCATGCCCTTCTCCTCCCACAGCCTCTTGGCAGCCTCAGGACATATTTCGCTCCTGTTGGGCCTCCTCTTCTACATTTATCTGTGCATTCCTGTCTTCACTCACAGAAATGGGGCTGGAGGAGCTCCTTCCGTGAGGCTGGGTATCATTCCCCTGGGCTGGCAGTGGTGCACAGCCAGCCCCGGCAGAACACCCAGGATGGGGTCTTGTGGCCCTCTGCCCTCTGGGGCAGTGGTTGGCACCCCCCAGAGAGCTCAGCACCCTGCTGCAGAGGTGAGGAGTGCAAGAGCTGAGCTGGAGCTGAGGTGCTGGAGTCATTGGAATGTTCCCCAAATGCTCCTTGAGGGGATATTGAGAAAGAGAGTCTGGGGGCTCTGCAAGGGGCTGACCTTGCTCTGCCCTCCCTGGGGTACTAGCGGAGGCAAGGAAGCATCCAGCAGCACAAACATCTTTCAGGGCCACCTACCCAGCACTGGCACTGGCTGGACAGCCCTGAGGCTCACAGGGAGCCACATCTTCTGGTACAGTGTGAGCTCCCTCCATCCTTCTCTCTGGCGGGTTTGTAGTCATCGAGAGAGTATTTCTGACTGTGTAGAGGGGGGAAGGAGGGAGGGAAGGGCTCTCGTGTAAGTTCTCTGTAATATTCAGCCGTTGATGACCCACCATGCCCAGCTTCAAGTGTGCAAGACCCTCATTCAGTACTTAAGAAACACTCAGAGATGTTTTTAGGATATTTGTGTTTTATCCTGTCAAGTCTGGGCTCGCCGTTGACCTGCTGCTTACAGCCATTCTCGTCTCTGTACATTATCTCAACGATTCTCAGAACAGATACGTCTCACCCTTTGCAGTGCACATGACCCCAGTGCACGTGGTGGTGGTGAGAGGGGCTGAGCCTGCACACAATGGATGCAGTCTCTTCTATCCACCACATGAAACCTGCAGCCACAGCTCAGCTGATAGTGCAGAATCCGCTGTCTCAATCTAGGAGGGAGAAAAGAAGTGGAGAGGGTCTTAGGGCTCCCTTTGGCTCCCCTTGAGCTGGAATTCCCAGGGCAGGAAGACCCATACTGGGAATAGTGAAGAGTCCAGTGGCCAGGGACTCCAACACAGGGACTATGAGCAAAGGGGCTGTGGTGGGCATGAGCACAGGGCAGTGGACATCTCTTGAGCAACACTTGGATCAAGCCTGACCCCTCAATAGCTCTTCCACCCTGTATAATGCACACCTCTTTAGATTTTTTGCAATCCTCGTTGATCTCCTCGTGTGCCTCTGCACAGTTTCCCTCCGGACTGTGCTTCTCCTTGTGCTCCTTTTCACAGCACTGTTCTGTATGCACACAAGAAGGTTTAGTGAGGCACAACTCCCTCCCAGTGGGATCCCTCTGGCCCAGGTTGCCCAGAATTGCTCAGGAGGGCCCCAGTGCTGGAGGAAGTTGGGAAGCTGGGGAGTGAGCTCCTTCCTTACCTGCAGCATCACCCTTCGCAAGGACAGGGCAACTATCAGAGCTGATGACCAGAGTTGTCTCCTAAAAGTATGGAAGCCCAGTATTTTCATGACCATTTGCAGCTGAACAATGAGGAATAACTTGACTAGGAGCCAAAACATCTTCAATGGCGATTCAAAGGTCCGGGCTCAGTGGTTGTCCTCTTGAACAGACCCATCCAAAACACAACACACAACACTTACTAACGAGGCTCCTCTCGTGCTCATCCCATCACTCCCACAGTAACACCTTCTCAACAGCACAGAATCCCAGGACTGCACATCCCAATGCTGGCCTCCCAAGCTCTGCTCCCCATGCCCATCCCAGTCCATTTGGCAGCATCAGCCTGCACACCCAGCACTGAAAGGAGCCCTGGGGAGGCCGAGAAACCCAGGCAGACCCCAAAGGGATGAAAGGCTGGGGCAACATAGGGCACCCACTCCTACCCACATCCCTTCTCCTTCTCCCAGCTCAACTGCCATGCTCCTCAGCTGCTTACTCTGCCATGCAGGCAAAGAGAGACCACAGCATCCTGAAGCCCACTAAATCAGGGCCATGACTGTGATATGATGGTGACATCGCTTTGATTCACAATGGCTGCCCAGGGCTGAGCTGCACACAATATTTGCAAGCTGAGAAATCATTCTGGGCAGTGAGGACAAGCTCAAGCATACCAGGTTTGCTTGGCAAGGTTTTTGGTGTAAGCTCTCTGCAGTACTCAGCTGTTAATCAGAGAATCACAGATCATAGAATATCCCCAAAACTGAAGGGAACACCACGGAGCTGCAAGAAGATGGCACTGAGAACCTCAGCCCTTTCCTTGTCCTCAGCAGTAACATTCCCCACCAATAAGCAGGGGATTCTCCGTGGCCCTCCTCTTGCAGTTAATAGATTTACAAACGCATCTCAGGGTTTCCTTCCCGAGCATCGTCCAGCCTTCCTGGACCCCTCCGCCATTCAGGACCGACTGAGCTCGGCTGGCACTGCCCATAGCCTCACCCCTTAGGCGCGATCACCGCCTCACCCTTGGCTCTACTGCGCATGCGCAGCAACTCTGGCGGTAGGCGTTAGACGCACGCACGTACTTGCCGTTGCCTGGCGACGGAGAGCCGCAAAGCAACCAGACTGTCGCTATGCGCATGCGCAGCACCCTTGTTGCTAGGCGACAGCGCGACGCCTCAGCGGCGGCGCCGTACCACTGCGCATGCGCGGTACGTACGTTGCCAGGGAACGCGGTTTCTCATGAGCCGCGGAGCGGGCGAGGAGTTGGCAGGGCCCCGGTGGCGGGAGCCGGGCCTGGACCGGGAGCCACAACCGGAGCCGGCCGAGCCGGGCCCCGAGGAGCGGATTGCCGCTCGCCGCCGCCGTATCGCCGCCCGCCTCGATGCACAGCGCCGGTGAGAAGCGGGGCGGCCATCCCGCGGCCTGTCCTTCTGTCTCATGGCGGTACCGCACCCCGAGTCCTGCTGGTCACGATCCTTCTGCCCTCCCCTCCTGGCCCTTGCTGCCTTTGTCCGGCCCAGGCCTCTCTTCCTGAAGCATGCCATGTCTGGGTCTGCCCTTCCCCACGCCCCCACAGGCCAGGCCTGTTCCCCATCCCAGCTGGCAGCCCCCAGCCAGCACCAAAGCAGTGCCTTCCCCCTGGAATCCACCATCCTGATGACCTCCTCTTCCCCAAACGGGCCCAAGGATTGGTCCACACAGCCTCAGAGCAGTACCAGTTCACCCCAAACTGATACCGGCTCCCTGACCCCAGTACTTCCAGCAGCAGCATAACCTCAGGGACCACCTGCCTGGAGATGGCATCAGTTCTTACAGCATCCCCCACCCCACACGAGCTGTGGGCCCAGGACCAGGAGGTTGGTCCACCTTTTGCTGCCTCTTTTCTGCGCTTTTCGGGGCACGGTGAGCCTGCTGAATTGTGTTGCCTGTGCTGGGATGGAGTCGCAAGCCTTGCAAGATGATCTCTCAACATTAGGAAGATAGTGCGTAAAAGATTCTGTCTTTTCCCCTTTCATGCTCAGGCAAGCCCTTGGAGAAAATGAGGAGCCAGAGGAGGAGGCTGAAGAGGTGGGAGAGGAGAGAATCAGCCACAAGCAGGTTGAGGAGAGCCGGCAGGTATGACAGCAAGACAGGAAGGTCCTCTTGGATTCCTAAACTGTAGGCATTTGGCTTCATGCAGTGCTCAGTGTCACCCAACAGCCTTTATGAGAGAGGAAGCAGAGGCAGAAGCTCTGTAGGACCAAGTGGGAGGGGATTCATGGGCCACATATTGAAGACAAGATTTCCCTGTAGTAAAATGCCCATGGATGGGAAGGATCTGGGACTGGAGCTGTCCATCCAGACTCAAATCTCACTGTCCAAATACAGGGAAAGCAAAACAGAAATGTGCACTGAGCACGGGCCAGTTCCTCTTGGTGCTGTTGACCTTCAGGGCTCTCCAAGTGGAGGAGGACCCGTGGGTGCACTGAGGTCTTTCCAGTGCTTGTTGAACCTTGCCATAGAATGAGAAGATGGAGTTTATGGATCTACACAGGTTTCTCAGTGTGGGGATAGGATCTGGAGCCTTGACAGCATAATGAGAGCAGCTCCAGTATCCCTCCCTCCAGAGCTGAAGTCAGGTATGTGCACCACCTCCTTCACAGAAGCTGACCAAGCTGCTCTTTGAAGGCACACGGATGGTGACAGATATCCAGGTGGCTGCTGACTTGAGGGAAACACAGAGGAGAGCAGAACAGGCCGAGCTGAAGCTACAGAGGTAAGAGGCTGTGGCGTGGGTTTGCTCTGCTGGGAAGGAGTGACGGATGATTGCGCAGCTCTCTGAGCACTTCCCAAGATGACTGCATTACATGCAAAGCATCATAACTCTGATCATCCACATACACTTAAAAGTTAGGATTGCACTGTAATTAATTTCCAAAGGAAAAATTTAGGCACACAGGAGCTCCCAGGACCCACCTGCCACAGATAGATGTTTACAGACTGTGGCATGCCAAGGCTAGTGACTTCCTTAAGTGGTACTGCTGTACTCCAGGCACTCTGGTTACCTGTCTTCTCTAAACCCATCACAGCTTTGTCTCCAGACTGGGAGAAATACAGCTGGTTCTCAGCTTCTGCCTAGAAGGCTGTTCCACATACTTGTGGTCTCCTTGCTCATACAGCTGTCCTCACTTCTGACTGACCAAGCAGCTCACTGAGACCAGAGGTGACACTGTGCTGGAGAACATGCCAACCAGTGCTTAGATGTGACTTGGTAAATGATCTGTTTCCAGAGGTTGCCTTCTGTTTTTAGCAGTGAGTCATTGTTAGCTATAGCATGAGTATGTGCCAGCCACACCAGGCTGCTGTGTATGAGGATTGGGAAAAATGTGAGGCTGTGCTAATGTGAGGAAGTGCATATATATTGTCTTCATGGAGAGGGTGATCAGATGCTAGCTCAGGGGCCCATGGTGATGTAGGGAGCTTCCTCCTTGGAGATACTCAGCACTTGCCTGAATGAGGCCTTGCACAGCCTGCTCTGCTCCTGAGGCTCTTCCAGCCTCGGTTATTCTCCAATTGCTCTGCGGCTGCCTTGGCTGACCTGTGCAGCTTCCTCAGAGGGATCTCCAAAGGACTGGCTGTTTCAGCCTTGCCTGCAGAGATGAGCTAAAAAACACCGGGTCCTTTCTCTTGGTTGCCTTTGGAGGGCACTGCAGGAACAGTTTGTGGGAGGCTGGCTGGAGCAAGACATCAGTTCCTTGCTCAGAATTTTTTCTAGTGCTGCCTTGCCCTGGTTTTATCTTCATTTACTGCTCACAGGGTGGAGAAGCTGGAGAATGAAGCCAGGACCAGTGCTGACAAGTTTGAGGAGATCACCTCGAAGTGGGCCTTGGCCAAGGAGATGACAATCCCTCAGGAGCTGTGGCAGCTGCTGAACCAACAGCAGCAGCTGTGCACGCAGCTTCTGGAGGAGAAGAACAAGCTCATTGGTGAACTGCAGCAGGTAGCATGGGGACCATGCAGGGGTAACCAGCAAAGACTGAAATTTTTAAGCTCTGGAGGATGCTGTTCTAAAGCAATAGCCATCCCTCTGGCTCTCCAAGGCCCTAGCACATAGCTGGGATGCGTGCAGTGTCAGTTGGTCCAGGACACGTGTGCCAGGGGTTGCAAGTGATGCAGTGTTGACAGTGAGATCCAGTGCCTTAGTAGTGCTTGGTGTGCAGGGACAGATGTGCAGGACACCAGTAGCAATGTGTCACAGAACCACAGGGTTGGAAGGGACCCCAAGGGTCATGAATCTCCAACCCCCCTGCCACAGGCAGGGCCACCAGTGTCAAAATGGCAGATCCCAGACTTCACAGTAGTGTAATATAAAGTGGTTGAGAAAGAGATTGTTTTCCTAGAGGGAAGCAAGTCCTCCCCACAGCACCTTCCTTAGCCCTCAGGAGCAGGAGTGGCCTGCCTCCAGGTGTGTCACCTCCCACTCCATCTTCTCACCTGCTGTGACCTTTGGTGGTGATCTGTCTCTCCTCCCTCCTTTCCTCCTAAATACCTCATGGCCTTTTGTCCTTGTCACCTCTTCTCCTTTGGAAAAGGCAGCATCTGGGTCTTACGTTCTCTGTTATCTCCTAGTAAAATATTCTCTCTGATTTCAGCATCTGCTGTCCTCCTCCAGGAGCTGAAAAACAAAGATGAGCAATACGTGCAAACCATTAAGAAGCAGTCAGATGACATCCACCTGCTTTTGGAGAGAATGGAGGAGCAAATCAGGATGATGTTGAAAACTTACCGTCACAACGTCCATCAGATTGAGGTAGCCAGTTCATTCAGTGGAGGGAGAGAGTTCAGGGAGAAAGGCTGCTGCTGTTCCCTTCTCCATATCTGTGGCCAGAAGTCCTCAGCCTCTTTCCACTGGCTGGATTGACTACTGTCCAGAGCAGAAAGTTGATGTCTTGAATGAAGCTCAAATCTGGCCAAGTAAGAGCACTGAATGATGCTGGGTGCTGAGGGACTGCTTTATACAGTGCTGTGAATGACTTTGGTTCAGCACAAAGTAGTGTGGTAACATTTAAAAGCTATTGCTGCTTCATGCTGGTTATCTGTCTTGCTAAAAGCCAAGAAGGAGCCTTGTTGGTCCTAAGTCCTACCTTCTGCAGAGCATGGAAAGTCACGGAT